TCCAAAGTTTCATTCATACACCAAGTACCAAGAAGTCAATTCCATCTCCTGTCACAATTAGGCACAGTAGTGACACAGCTGTATCAAGAGATCTTTGTATATCACTATGATGGGCAGTACTATTATCAAAAAAATCAAAAAAGGTTTCCAAGCTGCTCTTTCAGTGTATATTGTCACACATCCGAGAGCTACACAATGTCCTCAGTAACAATCATGACTTCACTGCCTGCTTTAAACATAGCTAACCCTTCATTAAGGAAAATAACAAGTCAGAACAAAAGAAAAAAAGCCCAAAAAAGCCAAAGTATAACTGCAACATGGAAAGAGAAACTGCTCTACACATTGCAACATTTTCATTTTCTGTTTAGCAGAAAAAGGGATGCTGGAAATCAAGCATGTTTCCTTTTAGAGGAAGCCAGCCACTTGCATCACTTCAGGGACACAATTTTATGTAACGTGTCAGGCTATTCCAATCGCTCAGCCCCACAACTGACTGACTAACAGGATCGCCACATCACAGCTTCCTTTTCAGTTACAAGACATGCTAAAAGAGATGGGCCAACTTGTCTCAGGAGACAAGAGAAAAAATGTCCTATTTCTCTTAAAAGACCCACTGAACCTTTGGTAAATTCCTGCCTATTGGCTAAATTCTGGATTACCCAATCTTCTGCCTGTGTGTATGCCTCTACACTTCTCCTCTATTTACCCAGCTTTGCTAAAGAAGAACACGTGAAGACTTTCCATGGCAGCAGTAAGCAGTTTAGTACACGATGTGGGATTGGGTAACTTGCATTGCAAAATTCAAGTATCATTGATAGCATTCGATAATTTTTGCTAGACTAAAACAGCTAGTCTGATATTTCAGTATTTTCAGCCTTCATTCCTAATGTACCCGACTGGGAAAAGCAGGCTCTGTGCATGGCATCAGGATTTCATGATCGGGGGCAGAACAAGAAACTTTAGGCCAGGACTGTATTTGCAGTTCTGCCACTGACATGGTGGGCCCCTGCGACAAGTTTCCACAGCTATAGAATGGAAAGATTTCCCCACCTCTAAGCAGTGACAGGTCTTCAGCAAGTGTGAAGAATCGCAATCAAGCTGTCTCCCCACCCACAGGAGAAAAATGTTAGTTAACTGCCATGGATAGCAAACACTGCCAGAGTGTAAAGCAATTTAAGACTTCCACTCCACAGTGCGGTAGATCCCACTGTATTTGCATGCTGCCACAGAAGGAACTCTAGTTAAAAGAAAAAACCCAGACATATTAACTTTCATTCTCTCTCTATTCCTAGCCATTTCCCAGTCAAGGAAATTCCCTGCTGAATAACACTGGAAAGTCCTGCATGTTGATGAATGACTCCAACCATGACTTAGCAAAATATAAATGTGCTCATTATAACTGTTTGTCTGTTAACACAAAACCCAAAGTGGCATGGGGTTAATATTAACTATTTACAGCCAGTACTACGATAGTATGACAAGGTAGGCAAACATCTTGGCTGGGATGATCTAGTCAGGTATGGTCCTGCCTTTGAGCAGGTGGTTGGACTAAGATGACCTCCTAAGGTCCCTGCCAGCCCTCATTTTCTACGATTCTGTACTATAAAGCAGAACCCGGATCCAAAGGTCATTCTGTCCCACAGTGACTGTGGATTTTAAGACAGCACACAATGATTTAAACCTAAGAGCCAAGAGGAACACACGTACGAGATGCTTCTACTAGAAACCAACAAAAGCAGGCACAAACATTCCCTCTGCGTATCTCAGTAGTCTGCCGACGTGTCTAGCTCACCAGCAGTCTGATGGTGGAATTTCCTCGTCTTCCATACTCTGCTCATCTATCTGTTGTTGTTTCATATGCTCCTGCATGCATCGGCTAGGGGATAAATTAAAGCATCTGGTCTCAACTGTTTACATGCAAGGACCCCGTAATATTTCCTCCATTTGACAGTACAAGAAGGGTTAGTTTACTGCGATTCCCCACCTAAGAACCTTACAGAAGGAAAGACCCAAGATTACAATGTTTTACGATGTTGAAGAAAAGCAGGCAGGGGTCACCTGCCAAATAAGACAGAAATCTTGGCAGCATAATATGAAGCATTCCACATCCTAAAATTGACAAGTTCTACTATTTTAAGGGTACCTCTCAAATACTGTGTTTTGAATATCGGGGGGTGGGGGGCACAACACATAGGTAATAGATACTACCAGTTTGATTTGCACAATACAGTCTGTGTTAGGACAGACAAGTGCTACTTTTGCAGTTCTCACACTTACAAATACAACTAATGTCTCAAGCTGTGCATGAGGGCGTATGCCCACTCATCACAGGAGTAACTGAGATACTGGGAAGCAGAGACACTAAGCAAAAGCACAGAAGCAGCCTCCAGCAGATTCAGAAATAGGACACCGGAGACCAAACTTCCCATCCTGTTCCCTAACGACAAAGCTGTTTTCTCTCTCTCAGGCTATGTGGAAAGTCAGTCCAGGTACCTTGACGAGAACAAGGTGAGCTCCTAAACTAAGTTTTTACTTTCACACTGGATTTTGCTCATGTCATACATAAAGCAGCATTAGGTTCTGCTGACTCAGCCTGCAACCCACTAATTTCATTTGGCTTTCCAGGTCACAGCACAGGTCTATCTGGTTTCACCACAAGAGGCTAATAAAGTTAGTGTCTTCCCACCCCAAATCCCTCTCTTTAATGAGGGAGATGAGGCCCCACAGCTGCTCCTTTTACAAGTAAGCAAGCATTCAGTGAGCTGGGATTGACAGAGAAATATTAAGCTAGAATTCTGTTTGATGTTGTTACACAGATTTTGTATAGCCCCACACCCAAGCCTGCCTACTCCCTCAATTGTGTCAGAAAGTCAAAAGACCACTTAAAAAGGATGTCGTGGTGTCTGCTATCTTCATACATTAGAATGCAAGCTAAAATTTACATTAAATCTAAGAAAGGTTGCATAGCTCAAAAACAGTCACAAACAAGCTTCGCCAGGCCGAAACACGACTCCGAGCTCCACGCATACTTAGACAAACACTTGAGAGCTTCCATTCATTACACACGAGTAGTCACATTATCACTGGTGCCCACCTTACACCATGATAGCATTAAGTGCCCCAGACAGGGCTGTTAATATCATAGCACTACACTCAGCAATTTCCCAGAAGACGGGTCTGATAGAGCAGGGGGTGGCAATCCTCACTGTGCATGCCAGACCATGAGGCCATTTTGCTTGGCATGCCACAGCTGGCTCAGGCCCAGAGCTGGAGCTGGATGTGGCAGGCAGCTGGGAAGCTGCAACTGGTGCACCAGGGTTTGGAGCCCCAGCCTGGCAGGGGCTGCACACGTGCCTCGGGGCACACGGCAAAGGGGCCTAGGCAGCTTAACCCCAGCCCCTTCCCCTCCACGTACCCCAAAGCTACCACCACCACCACAGAGCCCAGGCTGCTCGTAGCAGGCAGTGGGCAGGGTGTAAACAGCTGAATCAGCGTATGGAGCCCTGGCCTGGCTCTGTGGCTGGAGGCAGCTGCACACATGCCTTGGGGCACACAGCTGGGAGCAGTGCAGCCACGGCCCATTCCCCACTGTGCCCCGAGGCACACGTGCCGTCACTGCTGGCAGCGTGCCTGGCCGGGGCTCCGGACCCTGGTACAGCCACTTGCAGGCTCACAGCTGCCTGCTGAGAGCAGCCTGGGCTCTGTGGTGGGTGGCAGGGGCCTGCCCAGAGCCTAGGCTGCTCAAAGCAGAAAGCCACAAGGCCACAAGCAGCCGCACCAGGGTCCAGAGCCGTGGCCTTGCTTGTTGCTGGCAGCAGCTGCACACATGCCTCAGGGAGCACAGCAGAGAAGGGGCCAAGGCTGCACTGCCACAACAAGCATTGGGCCCCCTGTGGCTCTCCTACTCTCTGACCCGGCACACCAACATCTTCCGAGTCCAGGTTGCAGGGGTTTTTGTGCTAGCCCCAAAAATGTTGCCAACCCTTGTGATACAGCATTGCATGTACCTGAACTAAATGCATGGGGCTGGGATTTCAGGTAAAGGTTTTCTTCTCCTCAGCTGAGCAAACACACTAGTGGTCCACTGAAGGCAGTCAACCACCTCCCGCTAAGATTACAGGCAAAGGTGACTGCAGGCTGCCTTGGAAACTGCCACGTGTGCGCCCCTAAATGGAAGCAAATGAAAAAAAATTCTGCTGCTGGGTCTTCCTGCTCCCGACCCTCACTTGATCCTGCCTGCCACAAGCCACTGAACCTGGAGACACAGAGGCTTTCAAAAACGCCTTAGCCAGGGGGATCAGGCTCCGCTGCTGCTCCTCTTGCCAGGTTTCCTCCGTGCACTGCACAGCGTGTTGGAACGCCCTCAGAAAGGGATCAAACAGGTTCCACGGATGGGTTCGCTGCTGGTTGCACAATTCTGGAGATTATCCTGGCACTTCTTAAAGGCAAACTAGCTCTTCCCCCCTGCAAGGGAAGCAGCAGCAAGATGACACAAGGTGGACTTTTGCCCAGGCAGCCGGCAGCACTCACCTGCTCCTACAACTTCCTCCTCCCTTTAAACCCCTGCGTGTTCCAGGCCCACTGCCACGGCCTGTACAACCCCAGGGTGCCCTCGCTCTGGGAATCCCAAGTCACCCGAGGGCGACTGTAGCAATCCTCTCCTCGCTCTCTTTGCCCTTCTGTCTGGCGTCAAGGGGCATGGGCTTCACCCGAAGGGCGCCTCCCTAGCATTTTTGCTTTGGCCCACACACGCAGAGCGAGGGGTGCCGGAGGAGGGAGACAATGCCAGGCCGCAGCAGCAAGGCAGGCGGAGGGGCGGGAAGCCCCGGCACCCCGTGCCATGCTGCCTGCAGGCAGGAGTGCCCGAGGCCAGCCCTCGCTCCGCTCCACCACCCGAGGGAGGAAGCAGCGGGGCAGCACGACGGGAGCAGCATGCCCATCCCCGCGCAGGGCAGGGGCAGGAGCAAGAGCCCGTGCTCCCGCCACCCCGGGCCCCTCACCTTCACCGAGTCCACGGGGTACATGACCGTGTGCTCCATGATCCCGGCCACCGCCCCAGCCACCATGTGTGTGGAGGGGGAGGCGCTGGTGGGCAGGCTCTCGTAGTCCTCCCCGCAGCCCTGGCCCTCCATGGCCAGCGCCGGCCCGCCCGCCTGGCCCCCGCCGCTGCCCGCCACGCTGCAGCGCAGCTCCATCCGCACGCGCAAGGGCCGGGGAGAGGGAGCCGCGCCGAGCGCGAGGGCGGGAGAAAGTTCACTACTTAGTGACACCCTGCCAGCCACGCCCCCGGCTCCCTCCTCCAATGGCAGCCGCCGGTTGGCCCAGGCCGCCCCCGCCCCCTGTGGCGTCACGCGCGCAGTGTTGCGCAGTCCCCGCCGGGTGACGTCAAGGTTCGCAAGCAGAGCTCCAGGAGGAGGGGAGGGGTCCCTGCTGCGGGCAGGGGTGCCCTGAGGCGGGAGCTCTGCATGAAATGCGAAGGCAGGGCCAGGGTTTCCCTAGGCAAGAGGCGCCCCTTGTCAGAGGCACTGGGCCCGGCCCTTGGCAACAAAGAAATGAAATTGCCCCTAAAAGCGTCCCTACGCGAGGCTAACTGCGCAGTAGTGCACGGGCGAAACCACGCAAATACGCTACTCCGCAGTAAGCATCGCTAAAAAGCCACGTGCTGGCACTACTGGCAGTAGCACGTTGATTTTAGTGGTTGGTTAACCAAGTCCTAAACTTAATGCGCGTCATACCCTCCTTTCCATGGAGAACACCGGCCTTTTATCCACCCACCTCCCACAGGTCCTGCCAGTTCTCAGTTTCCACCTGCCCCTCAAAATATTTATGGCTTTTGGGCCAAATGTTTGGGGCTTCTGCAGAGAGTCACAATATTGACATTTTCCAAGGAAAAACAAAAATAATTTTGGCAAAACTTTCCTTAGGGAAAACACCAACACACCCACACTAATGACCTTGCGGGAGGTTTTCAGTGCATCAGTGCACTGAATGGGCCTGACTGCCAGTTTTTCATGTGAGATTTGAAGCCACTTGTTAGGCAGTTCTCAATTCCAAAGGTGCATGTAGGTCACTTAAGCAGAGCACAAGCAGAGACACCTTTAACAAACGGGAATGCATTGGCTTAGCAGAGGTTACTGACCGGCAGAAGGTCCGCTGCTGTTGAGTGAAGAAAAGACTGAGGCTTTGGAAAGTCTTTTGGGTAGAGTCCAGGACTGGGAGTTTGGAGATGGAGGTTTCTTTACCAAATCTGCCTTAGTCTATGTGTGCCGCCACATCCACTCTGTGTACTTGTGTTTCCTTAGCTGGAAAGGAAATAGGACACATTTCATAAAGATGCTGCAAGGATTCATTCCTCAAAGGCAACACCACAAGCTTCCACTGGGGCTGTGCATCCCTGAACCCACTCCACATGTTGGGGCCCTTCATGCCCTGTCTTGCATCTCACTCCACACACCTGTGCAGGGGAAGGGGAGAGCAATACCTGTGTATTTGACAATACTTTGGACAGGCAAACATAAGACAGAAGTCACGAGAGGATCAGATGCTCAAAAAACCTAAAAATGCAGTGGGAGAGACACACCAGCTACTGATCTCTTCATCCTAACCCATGAAAATTCCCACTGCTTGAAAGAAGGCCTCTTGACAGAGAGCAAAAAGTGGAGATAATGCCAAAGAAATGCACTGGGGAATGACAGGTATGTAGAAGTACAAAAGGGGAATCACATAAATAGTTTGCTAAAAAAGGGGGGCTCTTGGGAGGAAAAAGGGACACCGTGCCAAGTTCTCTGCTGCTGTCTATGGGAGCAGTGCCTTCAAATCTGCCTGCTTGTACCAGAGAATCTGCCCCTTTGTTTGTAATTTGGGTTTTTACAAGCTTCCGCAATAGCTTGGTGGCACCATTTATATCATTAGATCATATGCAATCTGCCCCTCTTTAGTTACTCCTTGCCATCCAGGAACTGGAATACCCAACATCATCACAAATCACATTATTTGACTAACTGGCTCCTTAAGCAACACCCAGAGGGGGACAGCAAATATAAAGATCAATAAACAAACACAAGGACAAATAGAGAGCTAGATGGCTTAGCAGTAGGGCACAGATTTCCTAATAACTCACACTGAAATCCTTGGATCACTATCGGCAGTTCATCCAAATTCTGTGTGCAAGGAGAGGAAGGTGGCCCACACCATTTTGATAAGAATAAGGCCTTAATATCCCCTGGCAGCACGCCAGTCACTTGTCAAACTCTGTCCTAGAGGTGCCTGCATCTCAGCTGTGTTTCCATGTATGAATTATTTGTGGAGAGCCTTAGGACTAAGACTTTCTTGGACTTAACAAACACAGTGTTTTGTGTATATCAAAACCATTTGAGGGGCCAATAAAGCAGTCCTGACTTTACAAAACCCCCCCCCATTGTTCTGCATGGGTATTTTCTTGATTCAGGGCTGAATAGGGGCATGACGTTTGGCCCATGTTAAAATGGTTTTCCTTGTATTCCAGGCAAAAGTCGCCCAGAGCAGAGCTACCACAGGCAGTCAATTGACTAGTTAAACCTCCCTAACAGCTGGCTGAGGTAACTGAGATGTTCAAGTGATGTAAGAGATGCACCAAGATGAATTTTACCTTGTAACTAGAGGTTATTCGTAATCAAGAACTGTGATTGCTGTACTGCAAGCTATTGAGATCTTTTGTGCCTTTCCTTCCACTTGGCTGCAGGGTGTCTAGTCAACTTCATTACTATGAAGGGACTCCTTTTTACTGTACCTCACCAAAACTTGAACAAGGGTTGTGTATGGACTATGGATTGTAAAGCACGGGAACAAATATCCCATCACTGGGAGTGAGTGTAGTCTCTCTCGTTTGTCGATAAAGCAAGAATAGCATTTGATTTACTGTGGGCTCAACCTGGCCCAATTCACTCCTTTAATTTCAGCAGCACTTTTTTCATACAAACTGGTATTATATAGCCCACAAAGCATACCCTCCTCCAATTATATTTTTCCTTTCTCTCCTTCCACCCATGCCTTTCTTTATTGCTTCTTCTCCCCGCCATCTCTCTCCCATTCTTCTTTTGCCAATCCATTCTCACTCTCCTTTCCAACCCAATCCTCCACCCTTTCATCCTCTGCCTAGCAGTTGAGGAATGACAGTTCTGTACCACTAAGCCATTTCCCTCCTCTCCCTATTCAGCTTTGTAGCCTTGTACACAATTTTGTTCAGAAAAAAACAGGAAATCAAAAATAATCAGAAAATCAGGATGATTGCTTGCACCACAAAAGTGGTTAGAAGCAACAACATACTAGGTGCTGTACATCCATTGCAGACCTCACAACATAGTGAGGGGCAGCTCCTACCCCAAAGATTTATATACTGAAAAGGGAATGGGAGGAGAAGCAGAGACCTTGAGACTTGACAATACTCATGCTTCACATAGAGCACAGTATGAAACTCCAGCCTCCCGGTTCCCATTCCAGTGCCCTAATTCCTTTGTCCACGCACAGATGAGCTGCTCATTTTGGATTGTGTGGATGAACAGAGAAAACTGCGTAACTTCAGAAAAGTTGTAGGGTTTCCATCCAGAGCAGGAGAGCTATTTTTTAGACTTCAGAAGTGGATACCAGTTATCTGCAAGGTTCCTGAACACAGAAGCAGGAAGTACAATACAAAATATACTTCCCCACTTTCTGGGCTCAGTGAGGAAACTCAGCATGATTTGCCAATTTGCTGCGAAACTTAGGCAAAGCCCTTATGCTTGAGAAGTTACTTATGACGTCATTTGGAAAACTGCAATGTCCTTCCTAAGTATGGTTTTTCCCCTTTTTCTCCAGTGCCTCCTTTTCTAACTACATCTGGTGTGAATGTAACTCCTATAAATGTGACTCATTAATCCCTATTTTATAGATAAAACTACAGCTCTGCCAATCAGAACAGTATCAGGCATTGTGTACTCACATACAGACATCCTGAATGATCCAGTTTTCCTGTGCGTATTCATAAAGTCCCTTTGTACTGCCATGAAATCAGCACAGATCAACTGAGGCCTCTTGGCTGACAGGCCTTGGCTATATTCTTCTGAAGGCAGAACATTCCAGGTACGTAGCCCTCAAGCATGCAGCATATTGGCATATCTTTTTTATCTAGCACTTATTTAACTCTAATACCTGGGTGATTTCCTTACAGCAGCAGTGAAGTAGTGCAAGGGAGAAAGGCTTTCCATGTAGTGTGTTTTGACCAGTGTAATTTCATGCCTTGTTTTATGCCAGGTAGTGACATGTAGGCTTAAAAATCAACCAGGAAAATAGAAAACACGGCGACATGCCTATAAAGTTATTTACAGTATTCTTCAGCCTTAGAGACTGGATTAAAAAAACCCCATTGTGAAACACTCTTCTGAAGATCTAAACATGCAATAAAAAAAAAAGGACAGGCTTTCATGCTAACTAAAGTGAAGAAGTCCGACGTTTTCCATAGTGGCTTTGGAAACGACAACACTTTCCATAGTGGCATACGTACTCCATGCCAGTTCAGACTTGGCCATGATCTCTCCTGACAGACACTCAAAAATGTGAGGTACTAACAGCTGGTATCCATGTTAAAAACTCTGAACCTAAATCAAGCCCCGTGCAAAAATATATGTGATTTTATTTGAAAGAATTAACCTGGAAATTAGATGGCTAGTTTTGTGTATTTTGCTATCACATTCAGGGGAGGTTACATCACATGAAGAGTCACAGTGTTTTGGAGACTGCCAGCCAGTGAACTACCACAGAAGGGAATGTCTTTTCTTACACAAAACCGGGTTTGCCCAGTGTTACAAAAAACTCACAGGCAGACCCACAAATACACATATCCCCGCTTCCCCACTTTGGAGTTAATCACTTTGGCTTGAGTTGAAAAACAGCCTTTGTGGTTAGAACGTAAGCTACCTGTGGCAGGGACTGGCCTTTCTGTTCTGTGTTTGTACAGCATCGACCATACAAGAGTCCTGGTCCATATCTGGGATCTTTGGTTTTACTGGAAAAAAATATTAACAATCACAATGTAACATCTGTCGTGTATGTTCACCAGTGAAAACAAACTTAAGTTGATTTGGGGTCCGGAATAGTAATTCAGTACCAAGTCATGCAAGTCCTCAAACAGGGGGAAGGCCTTAAAAGTGCATGCACCCCATACGATTAGTATGTTGGTTCATGTTGTCACCTACA